GAGATGAAACCGAAACATGAATAGGAGAACCTCTATACACACGCTCATCTTCCTCAGGAGTTTCAACATCAGTTGGCACAAGAGTCTAGCGAATATGTGCTTCAGGAGTCTCATGATCATCATTACTCACCACAGGAGGTGGAAGCGGATTAGGCATGCCCCAAGGGTAAGCATCAAAATTACCATTGGGCATGGGTGCAACAAAAGGTTGATAAGGCACAAAGGCACTGCCACTGGAAATCTGAGGAATGAAATTCAGAGGCATTCCCCATGGAAAGGCAGTAGGCATCCTATTTGGAACAGATTGAGCACTTGGTAGGTTGGCAATATGTTGAACAACAGTCTCAACTGACGCTTCAACAACAACAGGAGAAGAAGTAACAACAGGAGGAGAAATAACCACAAGAGTGATAACAGTTGCATCAACAACAGTTGCAACAACAAAAGTGGCAGCGATGGCGTCCTTCTGAGCATGAAGGAACTCCACGATAACATCCATGTTGGTCTAGAACTGATCCATCCGACCCTGAAACTAAGGCAAAGTCTCCTTGTAGGAAGCATTCTCATGTTCAATATCAACCATGATCTTGGATTTGCTTGAACGAGTGAAATAAAATTATCGAGTCGTTGTCTTGCTACCAGGTGAAAATGGACAGTGTAAGCAACCTGATCTTTGGATGGAGGGCATGCATATGTGCATATGGGTGAATGCAATTTATGCAAAAATAAGTTTTTAATGCATATTCAAAACTGATTGGACATGATGAAATGATATGCAAGAAACCAGCACAGTCTGAATAATCTGGATGATCTGCATATAATTCTGCTCAGGCACAAAGGTTGGATGTGATAAGAGAGCAACCGGTATGAAGAGTCTTGGTTTCCTGTAGAAAAACCCAATATCCCCTCACAGGTGTGATCTAGTCTTGAACAAGGGTTCCTGATGGTCCTCAGATTCTCAGGATCTCAGGTCGAGCAGTAATAATATGCTCACCATTTATGGTTTGGAATTATTAACCCTCAAGGAAGCCTCCACTGATTTACAATGGTCGGTCTCTAGAGTCCTAAGTACTCTAAGTGGACATCCTATCATCTGCACCAGACACGAATGATAGAATATCTCCAAAGAAAACCTCGTATGAATATGGATTTCATGTCAAATAAACATAGCCAAACGCCACACAAGCCACTCTAGTCTTGTGTGTATGCTCAAGCCTGGGTAGTAGGCTTATCACTCAAGTAACACCCATCCCAACAACAGTAGAAAATAGCAGATATCCAAAATACACAGCATATGAATATTTAAAGTAGTAAGGAAATGCAGTAAATAACATTAAGATAAAGCACAAAAAGCATAAAGATAAACACCTAAGCAAGCAAGGAAAGAAAAGAAAACACTACTAGAAATACAGTATTTAGCCTCGACCATTTTCCGACACTATAAGACAAAAAACCGCCGCTACTAGCCAATTAGCCTCGGTGTAGCGTCGGTGTCGGGGATAGGCTAAAACGATTGAAGCTAACATTTAGCTTTGGCCAAAAAGAGCCGTGTCTACAGTAGGCTCGGTTTAGCCGTGTCTACATTAGCCTCAGTGAAGCCGTGTCAAAAAACAAAAAATAGCCTGGGCCTGACCGAGGCTAAAGTCAAACTTCATAAGCCACCATAATATTTAGCCTTGGTCCTGGTCGAGGCTAAAGGAACATTTTGCCTCGATTTATTCGAGGCTAAGTTCAAACTTTATAAGTCAACAAAATATTTAACTTTGGCCTAACCGAGGCTAAAGTCAAATTGTAAAAGTCAACAAAATTATGCCTACTTTCCAATTGTATAATCTATATATGCTGACCGTGTTTTCCAATAATGACAATTATGTCATGTCGTGTCCATCCTTCCTAGGAACAGATTCATTGGCATCCATTCGTTGCCAATTCCCTACAAAAGAACCCAGCTGATCAACCTTGTCATACAATCCTAAGAGCCCGCCCGTATGTATGAACATGATCTTCCTCCCTTCCCATTTCTTTGGATTTTCATTTATATCTTTCACCATTGCATAAGCAGCCTTACCACTAACAAGTAATAAACAATATTAAATCAAAACATGGCCTATAGGTATTCGTAATTGATAAGTAAAGGGCTAATCCTACTATAATAAGATGGAGGAAACTAAAGTTTGTGAACAAGATATTTGTGTGATGCACAATGAATGGCCTTCTGTTTGTGGAATAATAGAGAAGGCACAATAGTTTTAATGGATCCGAAAGAGCACTACAACAATATATAACATGGGTTAAATAAATACCTGTATACCGGGTCAAGAACAACCCCTGTAGCTTCAATGATTTCTTTTACAAATTTAAGTTCCTCAGAAGTGTTCATTGCATAGCCAATACCCTTGGCCTGTAAACAATTAAATTTACATCATAAAAAAAAGTATAGCTAAGCCAGATGATGAAGCAAGTTTTTCAGACCAGACATGTGTTATAAGAACCATCATGCCATGACTTGTCATGCAAGCATATTATGTCTGCTGGAGTGTGATCATTGATTTTCTCGATAAGAACCACTATGTATGTATTTCCACAAAAAGAATCATATTAACAATACACTCACATTTTGTATGTGGACAATATCTCTAGAGTTAACCCCAGCTTTAAGCCCATCAAACAAATCTTGGACAAAGTTGTGGAAGTAATCTGGGTCATCACAAACGGAGAATGCATGCACCTGTAGGAAGCACCTAAATGATTTAAGCACCATGTAAAAAATTGGACTATGTGATTCTTCTAAGAAGAAGGCATACCCTTGCTTTCAAGGTACTCAATGATGAACCCAGTGCTAAACCAGCAATTGTGCCCCCACTGAAAATTGACAAATGTAGGTTGTTATTAGATGAATAGACAATGTTCTTTCATCATAGTACAACTTAGGCTCGCGTTCACTAGTAAATTTGGTTGTAAATTATGACATGAAAGCACAAACATACAATTTTTCTTGGCCAGATCTTGTTTATTTATATTAAACCCACACTTTCAAAGAGAAGTCATTATTTGCTCTAGAATACATCATGCATACATACTATAAGATGCCTGAAAGTTGTTATAGAAACAAGCTACTCTAATATAAAAAGAATTCAACCAAGCTGAAAAGGAGGGTTGTAAAGGAAAATATAAATAAATTAAGTAGGCCAGAACCTGCCACAAGCCACAACAATATCATCAAACTTGACATTTCTTGTTCCACTTGGCAAAAGTCTAACAAAAAGCAAAGCAGTGAGTGAGTGAGTTGGCAAGAGTCTAACAGAAAGCAAAGCAGTGAGTGAGTGAGTTGGCAAGAGTCTAAGAGAAAGCAAAGTAGTGAGTGAGTGAGTTGGCAAGAGTCTAACAGAAAGCAAAGCAGTGAGTGAGTGAGTTGGCAAGAGTCTAACAGAAAGCAAAGCAGTGAGTGAGTGAGTTGGCAAGAGTCTAATAGAAAGAAAAGCAGTGAGTGAGTGAGTTGGAAAAAGTCTAACAGAAAGCAAAGCAGTGAGTGAGTGAGTTGGCAAGAGTCTAAGAGAAATGGAAGTAAAGAAGGAGGAGATACTGACTACACTTCCAATTAGTGAGTATTCTTCTTTGGATATAAGATGAAGTTGAGCTCCAATCAAACGCTCAATAAGTAGATTGCCAGTGAGGATGGGATCTTGGTCAACGAGGAGCTTAGAAGTGCGGAGAATGAGAAAACGGTCGAGATTCAAATACTTAGCGGCTACGACAGTGGCACGACAGTGGTTGCTTTGAATGCCTCCAATGGTAATAACAGAATCAACATGTTGGGCAACAACAAGTTTCACTTTGTTTTGTCAGCTGAGGTAGGGTATGGCCAGATTTGGGGTCATGAGAATTCTTGAGCCAGTTGGAGATCTTGACAGATTAGAACTTCAGTGGACACTATTGGTTTGATGCTGGGCCTGCTGCCGAGGTCTGTTGGAGATTTTTATTCCACATAGGTGTGGTTTGCTTCTAAGTAGGTTTGAGGCCAGTGTTTATGTCTGCTTTTGGAGTTTTAGATCTGTCAAGCATGGTGATGCTAGGGGTGGCTAGCTCTTCATGTTTGTCTGAATCCCTTATAGAATTGGCATTGTAATGTCAAATTCAGGATTTTGTTTAGACCTAGATTTAGTTGGTTCAAGTTTAGGCCTAGATTTACTTCATCATCTATGGAATTATCATTTATACTCAATTCTATACTTCTATAATTATACTCAATTGTTTATAAATGTTGAACAACAACCCTAAGGTCCAATTCTAAATGTGTTAAAGGTTAGATGGTTATTGGTGTTAAGGAATTAAAATGGCTGCTGTGAATTAGATGTAAGTTGTGATTCAGACCCACAACTTGCTGTTAAGGAATTAAAAGGTAAATCCAAACATGTACTAGCTGGAGGCGTAAAGTTTGTCAAGCTAAGACATGATAGATACCTGGTTTGGTTGACAGGGTAAATGAGTATGGGACCATTACTTGTGTCCTTGAGAATATTGCCAAATACTTGTTTGGAAAAGTCATGAATTTCACTCCTTGGGATCAGAAGGTTCAGCCAAGGATGGTGAACATCCCATAAGCCTTTTGCTCTTAGCTTCATCTCAGAAACATGCACTCTGTCCAAAAATTCCACGTAAGAAACTTCTGACAGGAACAATGTTGGTTGAATGTAACTCAATTTTGACAGTAGGTGATCAACACCCTGCATTTTAATGTGAAAAAAAAATTACAACTTTTTTTAGCCAATGAGATTGAGTGCATGTTTGAATTAACACTCAGAATAGCGAAATCATAGCGGCTGTGATTTAGCTATTCTCACTGTAATTCAAACATCCATAGTGTGTTTTTGTCTTACCTGATTCATGACTTCACCTTCGTTGGGATTGAAGTATTTTGCCATCTCAAGACAGTAAAAAGTCTTTCCATCTAAACTGAATTGGCTGGCTTGAAGTGGATCTTTTGGGTCAAAAGATAATCTTTAACTATTAAGGATATCAGTTCTATTTATGATTACAAATCCTTCAACATAATCAAATGTGTCCTTAAGTGATATCAAATATTCTTGATCTCTTGTAAATGTAGAGAAATCTGAATAGAGCACCCTAATCCATTTCACCTATAAAATGTTTACAGATTATGTCATAAAAAGTATATTCTTGGAAATGTTTTTCAGTACTTTCATATTAGAAATTAGGGTATAGTACACTTACCATCTTTGGTGCTGGTTCTAGAGAAATTCTAGCTCTGGTGATGATGCCGAATTGGCCGAGCCCTCCAAGAACACCATGAAAAAGGTTAGCATTTTGATTTTCTGAGCAGGTAACAACTTCTCCTTTTCCTGCAATGCATAAAGGATAATTATTCTCATTATTTATAAAAAAATCTAAAACGAAACCAACTCTTCTTAGATTCTGTTTGAGCAGTACCTGTCACAACTTCCAACTGGAAGATGTTATTGATCTGAGGTCCATGTTTAAAAGCCTGTCCACTTATTCCAGCATTCGAAAGAGTGCCTCCAACCGTTAGATGAAGATAATCTGTCCAAGATTTCGGCGCCAATCCATATTGAAGAGTCTCATGTAGAATGTTTATCCACAACTCACCACCTGAGACATCTACATAAGGAAATTCACCTGTCTGAATTTTCATTTCAGGACCCTTTAGCGACTCCATTTTGATGACTAGTCCTTGATATGCCTGTGCCTGATCTTGAAGGGGATGTCCATGGCCTCTAGCCGCTACCTTCATCTCTGAATCAGACCCTTTTTCAAAAACATGTTTTATGGCACGCGAAATATCCGAAATAATTTTTGGATGCAACAGTGCTAGAGGAGGAAAATGATGTATGTTACCAAAGTCCTTAGCAGCATCTTCATTATTTTTTAAGCTCAAGTGTCCATCAAAGGATTGTGATTGTAATGAAGTTAGGATTTGATAGTGTTGAATTGGAATTATTGAAGTTATAACAAAATTGTTGCAGCCTGAGTCTGCTTTGTTAATCATAAATAAATACTAGTACATTGTTGATCCTACATTGTGTCCTAAACATCATGCATCAAGGTTTCAACTGCCAAATATGAAACCAAACAAAGTTATGATGGGAATCTAGGTTGACCAACCTCCTAACAAACTTGGACAGTAAGCAAAGTAAAGAGCCAAGCATTCTTCACTATGTCATCAATGTTTGAAACTTAGTCTTGTCATGAATTCAACTAACACACATGACAACACCCTTTCAACAGACCACACCAACAAAGAACATACAAAGAAATCTACTAAGTCCCTACCTAGACTGCTCAAAACCTGTCATCATGGATTAGCAAACCATGATGCACAATGTGCCCTCCAAGTATGGAACACTTGATGACAATATTCACTACACAAAAATCCATGACAATGAGAGTTGGTCATTACAATGCCAATTACTAAACATATATGGTTTTGAGATAGAGCTCAATGGTACTAGAAGTTGACAAACCTTAAACCAAATGTTGACATGATTCTTGGTGTTTCAATCAACATTCATGTTTAATCAAAGAAAGATTTAGGTACCAGTAATAACTTCAGCATAAGCTTAATATGTTTAACCAAAATCAAGGATTTCTTTCAATGATTAATGTTTAATTTCTTTGTTGACATGTATGTTATGCAGAACAATTAGCTCTTATTCGTCAACAAAGAGCAGAAGCTGCGAAAAAGAGGGGTGAAGAGAAAGCTGGTAAGTTCTAAAAAACTGTTTGTTCTGCTTGTTCTATTCTTCAGACATCTAAAAGGTTGAAACTGATTATTGAGTAAATCTGTTTCAGCTAAAGAGCTTAAGAAGGATGAAGTACGCAATGTGGCCTAACCTTATTCCAATTAATAGGATGAATATATACTCTCACTACTCATAAATATTGTATCCATGGATCTTTATAATGGATCTGACAGCGATCTCATTCCATGTTGGTAATTTGTAATGCAACTATTCTAGCATCATGTGACTTGAAATCTTAATTAAATAAACACTTTTCTTTCACATAAAGTCTGGGAACAGTTAAATGTTGTTTATCCCATGGACACTACATTTAGCACTGCATTTTGTTTGGGAATGTAGAGGGACTCTACAGGAACCTCTTTTCTGTGTACTTGGAAAACAACATGATTTAGCAAAAACAACATTGATGAATTACAACTATCATAGCTTTAACAACAAGTTGTAAAAACAAGATGAAAGCACCAGTCAAGAAAAAATGTTTTGAAAGTTAACAAACTCATGCGTAAAATCTGAACAGAAGCAGTAACAAACTTGGTGTTTACCAATGTCAACACTCACATTAATTCAAACATTGTTTTCAAAATTAATTACCAATTTGTCAAACCAACACAGTTCTAACATGAAGATCAAGAGTTCAAACTATTGCCAAGTTCAAATCCTCCTACAAATAGTTTATTATGCATTTTAAAATGACAAATGCTAAATCCAAACAATTTTATGTTATGAAAATAGATTTGACAGCAACAAACATAAGCTTGACATAACAATGTCAATCCTCAACTCTCACCATCTGTTTCAACAGTATATATTATCACCTCTACAAAAGCAACAAACTACCTATATTACCCTAGAGACAATCTAAAAGCAACTGTCATGAGTTGAACAAACTCACACCTCAAAACAAAATGATAGCACATTGTAAATTACAATGTCCAAATCACCAAACTAGTCAAAACCTACATGATGGGGTAGTTGTCCTTTCACTAACAGGTTAGTAAGAGAAATAGTTTTGACAGCAACAAACATGAGTTCAACATAACAATGTTAATCCTCAACTTACCCTATGCTTCAAAGGCATGTATCAACATTTTTACAAAAAAGAAATAACATGCACATACTGCCCTAATGGCAGTCTTCCATTTAACAACCAAATAAATATAATTATAAAAGAAATTAATTTAAAAAAAAACATGCCAAATAAGAGAGGTCTTAATTAAAATTTCTTTCTTTTGAATTCAGTAGTAACTTATCAGAGGATGACACATGGCATTGGATAAAAAAATCTACAAATAATCAACAATTCCCTCTCCCAATCAATACAAGAACCAATAAAAAACCTGCTATGAAAAGCTCTGCAGCAACCCTAAAAAAGCACAATTAAACCAAAAACACATATACACCAGAGCCAAAATCACCCACCTACATTACTCCAAAACCATGCCCCTAATTCATGAGAATATTATAAAAATACACACAACAAAAGCAACTTGACCTTAATATCACAGAACAAAACAAAACCTCTATACACACAACAAAGCGACGCGATCTTGACATACACAAAAAAGTAACCTAACTTCAGACTAACGATGCCTTTGACCATTTGGCTCGAATTGTACGCGTACAACAAACAGAATAAATTGTTCATGCCATTCCAATAGTAATGCAAATATTCTCAAAATTTCATAAGTGAAATGAACATTGAATCACAAGACTAATATTACAGTAATGCAAATCAATAAAATATGAGAACATTAAGATTCAATATACCATAACAGAAATGATAATCCCATAAACTCACATGTTCAGAAATACGTTCAATATACTTTCTTCTCTCCGATTGCCTCACCGTAATCTCTAACCAACACCGTCGCGCCAGAGTTTAGGTTCTGTTAATTAATCCAAGTTCAATTCAGTTGAGAGCGAGGATTGTGTTAAATCTCAGTTAGGGTTGGAATTAGAAATTCATGAGTTGAATGCAAAACATAACAAAATCTTAACCTTAAAATGGCAAATAACACAAACAAATCGTTCTAGCTTATCAGACTTAGGAATAAGTTTTCTAAGATTAACAAGCTGAGTATTGATTCTATCTCTGCGTCTTTTCTCTACTTGACTATGACTCTTGGAAGCACTTGCAGCTCTATCTTCTAAACTTCCTTCAACAGGTAAAGGCCAAGACGGAAACTCACTACATTGAAAAGAAGCAGAAGAAGAACCAGAGATAGTTTGAGGTTGAATTTGAGCAGGAAAGTGTGAACGAAGAGATGATCTTGAACGAAGAGATGATTTTGAAGAGAAGATCAGAAGAATTGATGATCTTGAATCGATTTTGTTTGATTTTAGGGGTTTTTTTCTTCTGAAAATCTATTTGGTTTTATTTTAGGGTTCTTCATTCTGAAAGGAATTAAGAGGGAAACATGAAAAACAAGAGTGGGAAATAGTTAGACTCGACTCATCCGTGTCTATCAGATAAAATAAATAGATTCGAAAAAAATAAAAATAGTTAGCCTCGGCTCAACCGTGTTTAATATTTTAAAAAAAATAATTCAAAAATTTAAAAATATCTAGCCTCGGCCTAGCCATGTCTAAAGAATTAAATAAAAATAATTGTAAAAGAAAAACTCTAAAATGGTTTTTTTTTTGTGTTTAAATAGCCTCAATTTTGTCAAGGCTAGTTAGCCTCGGTGTTGGTTGCCGAGGCTAAATTCGCAGCTAAAAATAGTTAGCCTCGGCTCATCCGTGTCTAATATTTAAAAAAAATAATTCAAAAATTAAAAAATATCTAGCCTCGGCCTAGCCATGTCTAATGAATTAAAAAAAATAATTGTAAAAGAAAAACTTTAAAATGGCTTTTTTTGCGCAAGCGCAAGGACTCCCCAACAAAGCCACAAGCTGAAGCTAGCGGGATTGTATCTGAGTGAATCGTACACTTAAAGATATAACAGAGTCGCCACCAAACTTTATTTAGTCCCAAAGGACATGGAAAATATCAATAAAACCCAAAGAGAAGAGAAACGGGTAAGGGGGTCGGTTATGCGAAAGGAAGGTACTAGAACCCCATGCATTTGTTGTACTCGACCGGAATCATCTTGCTTACTTATATGCTTGGATGGGTTATCTATCTAAAGGCTTCTAGATAAAAAGGGAAAGAAAAGTGGGAGGAAGAAAGTGCTCGTGGAGGATTAGGGTCCTCGTGCCTACGTATCCTCATAGTGCAATAAGGAATTCAGAGTTCCGTAGTTCAGGGAACTAGAAAAAGAGAAGAAGATCTAGTCGGACCAGAGAGAAAAAAGAATGGAAGAAGGTATAAGGTAACTTGCCAAGCTCTCGCGATCTCATGCCTATGTATTCTCATAGTGCAATGAGGAACTCATAGCCTATGTAGTTCGAGGAACCAAGACGGAGAAAGAGAAGGAAGAGGAAGCAGTATCAAAACCAAGAGCGAAAGGGGGTAGAAAGACTCAGCTGAGAATTACAGAAGAATGGTGTCAAAACCAAGAGTGCAAGGAATCAAAAAGACTCTACTGGGGAAGCCCAAAGGGGACAGTGATGACTCCACTGAGGAGAAAACTAAGGAATGGTGTCAAAACCAAGAGAATAAAGAAGCAAAGTAATTGAATTGAGATAAAGTAAAGGACACTGAAGATTCAATGCATTAACTGATAGACAGGGATTAACCAAAGGAAAAGAAGATTATGATTCTGCAGGGAAAATAGGAAATTGGTTTTAACAGACGGACTGTGATCAACCAAAAAAGAGAGAGTATTGAACAAAGAGAATGTGTTTAACTCTGAGGGGATCTCGGTAAATTAACTGATGAACAATGACTGAACAATGACTCGAAGGTTGTGACCCAAAAGAAACTCAATACATGGACTGAACAAGCAGTACTTGATCGAAGAAAGGGTATTTGAACCAAAAGAAGGTTACTAACCCAAAGGTGTGAGTGTTTGAACCAAAGAAAGGTTGCTAACCGTTGGGGGATATAGTCTTAATAGAAGGACTGTGATTAACCAAAAGAATAAGTGATTTACCAAGAGACGATGATTAACTCAAGAGAAACTCAGTATGTTAATAGACGAACTGTGGTTAACTGAGGAATGGATGATTAACCAAGAGAAGGTGATTGAACCAAAGAAAGTTGGTTTTAATAGGCAGACTACGATCATCCAAAGAACGAGTGGTTAACCAAGAGAATATGATTAACTCACGAGAAACTCAGTATGTAAACAGATGGGTTGTGGTT